TATATATATATAACATTAATGCAGGTGAAAATAAATTATATATAACATGTAGTATTTGTTGTATTGCTTTTATGCTGATTTAAATGTAAAATCATAAAAAAGTTACAGTAGTTATTTGAGAATAAATGAGAAATACAAAATAAGTGAAATATATAAAAAAAATAAAATGTCTCCATTACAGTTATTATAATCTGGGGTCAAATTTGCGTAATTGTCATGACAGTAATTTTACAATGCAAAAAAACTCTTAAAAATAGAAACTATAAACCTCTTTTACTCTCTTTTGTTTATAGGAGCAGAAGAGGATTCTGGGATTGGGTATCACTGGTCCAGAGGGACACGTTCTGAGCCGTCCAGAGGAGGTAAAACGCTTCACATGCACATCAGACTACACCAAATTCACACCGCAAAATTACAGCTGTGCACCACGTGGAAGGGCTTTTTAGCACATCATCGGCCTTACAAGTACATCGAGACCCGAGAACGCTTCCAAAATAACCTTCAAACATGCTGCAATAAAACACATTTATGGTTTATTTCCCTTTAGGGATCAAGGGATTTCAGACTTTCCACTTTCCCACTGCTTTTGCTGCCAGACTCATTGATCACTGGTATCGCAGGCACATCAGCCTTCCAGAAACCTTTAGCTGCACATAAAGTGCAGTCAGCATTCAGGAGGTGCTGAGCAGCACTTTACAGCGGCTGCGTCTGTAATTTGAGCTGAAGGTCAGTGAGTGTCGGCTGTTGTTTTATAGGTGGAGGCTGAGGCCGTCAACCGCGCTGTGACCATCGCCAATCAGACCAACTGCCCGCTCTACATCACCAAAGTGATGAGCAAGAGCGCTGCTGAAGTCATCGCACAGGCCAGGAAAAAAGGTACATCAGATGTTTGCTATAAAAACAGCTTGACATCCCACTAAATCACCAAGAAAGGCCTGGAAAATGACACATGGGTTTTATTCTCAAATTATCAACACACTCCTAACTAGAGGACATGTGACACTGACTACACTGCAAAAACAAAAAAAAGATTTTCCTACACAGTATTTTTGTCTTGATTTCTAGTACGAATATCTAAACATTATCAAATCAAAATATATTTACTAGAGAAGCAAAATGTCTTAAGATATCATTTTGATTTCTGAAGAAAAAAAAAAGCTAAATGAATTGAGTTCATGCTTAAAACGAGAGAAAATATCTGTCGGTAGGTTAAGAAAAATGATCTTGTTTTCACGTTTAATTAAGTTTAGGTTTATCATTTTGATACATTTTTTGAAAACAAGTCATTTTTTCTCTAACAGTAACTGTATCTTGATTTAATGTATTTTTAAATCTTAATTGTAATGGAAAACAAGACAAAAGAGATACTACATAAAAGTAACAAAATCATTTTTGCAGAGGAAAATTACTACTATGGAAATGGTGTGTTATTATGCTAATGTTTAAGCTAACACTTAGCATGAGTAAAGCTATAGGACCCATCAAGGGAAATATATTTTAATTAATACTGAAAAAGTATTTAAAATGATCTATTCTACCCAATATTTGTGTTTGTTGTGTATTTTTCTGCTTGGCGCAAAAATCATTAGCTTAGCATTATGCTAACATCACCCTGCTGAAAAAAAACAATAGAAACCATCACAAAGGTTCTAATGGTTCTAATCAACTGTTAACCATTAAAACCATTACCTTTTGGTTTCCAGTAGCGGTGTTGCCGAGTTTTTCCCATGATTTTAATATTTGATATACTGCATAAATTGTATTTGAATAAAATGCGTGTATTGAAATATTTATCATTCTACCAAAGATAAACCTGCTGGATTATGAGTTTTGTGAGGAAGGAACCTTTGAGTGCCTTTATGAAGACTGTTTATGATTACTACTAGTGATTTTTAAGTTGAAATTGTGTATAATGCATAAGTGTGACTGTAAAATATGTATTTTAGGTATGGGATGTTGAGTTTGGATATTGGGGTAGGGTCCTTGGGCTTGTTTTGGGCTATATTTGATTGGCCTTTGGGCTGGTTTTGTTACACAGACCTGTCAGCCCTGTCCAGAAGCATGTTTTGGGCCATATTCCATTAGGATTTAGTGGTTTGAACATGCCACCAATAGAAGGCAGCAAATTACCAGGCCCACAGGAACCATTACAGTTTCCATTAAAACCAATACAATTCCCATTATAACCATTAAAACCAATACAAATTCTATGAGGGTTGCTATTGTTTTTTTTTTCAGCAGGGACTCTGTTGGCGTTTTTATAACAATTTTTTTTGCCTTATAAAAATGTCTAAATATGCTTAAAACAAGGTAAATTTACTTGTTTTCATATATTGTATTCTAAAACTATTTAAAAAGTTTATTTTGTCTTTTTACACTATATTCAAGATTGTGTCTGTACAATAAGACATAAATAGTCTTTTATTGTTTTTGTGTGCTGTTTTTTCTCCAGCCTGGTCATAGCTGGTTCAGTGGGTTGGTTTTAAAGGGGTTTTGATCACTTGATCACATCTTTAGCTAGTTAGACTGGTTTTAGAAGACGTTATACAGCAAAACAGCTCTTTAGCATTTGAAACAGAGAATCATCTGCTTATAAGCTCGAGGCATTTAAGTATGAAGAACGAAGTAGCTCTTAAATCTAGTCTTGAAACAGCTCTTAAAACCGGTCTAGTTATTCTGACCCAGTGTTTTCCCTCCGCAGGTACCGTGGTGTACGGGGAACCTATCACAGCCAGTCTGGGGACAGATGGCACTCACTACTGGAGCAAGAACTGGGCCAAAGCTGCAGCCTACATCACATCTCCACCCCTCAGCCCTGACCCCACCACCCCAGACTATCTCAACTCCCTGCTGGCCTGGTGTGTTTCCACAGCTGCTCTAGTGCATTATGGGATTTAGAGTACAGGGGGGTTATTTGGACCACAAGTGAGTGTGTGCAGAGAAGGGTTTAGCCTTTAGGCACTTACTGTATGTCATCCGTGATCACTATAGGGTGCCATTACACAAAAAATAGATTTTCTCTCTACTTATTCTTATGATAAACTAAGATACACTACAAATGACAATCAAAGAAACCCTTAATGAGTTGAAATGGTACAAAAACATACTGTGGGAGAAGATATTTTTAGATGTAGTTTAGATGGAGTTTAGCATGTCACACTACTTTCCAAAAGCATTTATTAGCTAGCAATATACTGTGGTACTGAATGATTGCTATATGGTATACATGCTATTCACGTTTTTTTTCAAAGAATACTATGGTAAAAAAACACACATTATGCTGCCATGTGCAAAAGCATTACTGTTTGTAAGTGTTTTGTGTGCAGTGGTGATCTGCAGGTGACTGGCAGTGCTCACTGCACCTTCAACACTTCACAGAGGGCCGTGGGCAAGGATAATTTCACCTTCATCCCGGAGGGAACTAACGGTACTGAGGAGAGAATGTCCATCATCTGGGACAAGTGTGTGGTGAGAGATCATTTATCTGCTTTATCTGTTCATTAATATGATTACAGATCCAGATTATATGAGACATGAGGAGTTTATGCATTTGTTATTTTTATTTTTATTTTACTTTTTATCTTTATTGTTTTTAGAGCCCGACCGATATATCGTTTTGCAGATATTATCGGCCGATATGAGCCTGTTGCCGATATATCGGTATCGGCGAATATGCCGCCGATATGAACATTTTTTTTTATAGAACATATAACGCAGATAAAATGCTTGAAATGGTGTGACTTAGTTTGTCCAGCAGAGCACACTCTATTGTTTGCTACTGGCGACCTGAATGAAACGCTTTAAAGCTTATGTCTATGGAAAACCATTGAAATTTGAACGGCCATATCTCCGTAACGGCGCGGCGAATCCGCACCAAATTCGGGGGATCCCTTCAGCTCGAGTGTACGTCTAGAGGCCCACTTTCGAATGAGACCACCCCCGCTTCGATAGCCCCCGGGGTTCGGGAGTTACGGGGGGTTAAATTCGCGGTCCGGTGCCGACCGATCAAGCGATCCCGGGGGGCTACCGACGCGCGGAGGGTGGCGTTCGAGAGGGCTCCTCGAGCTGAAGGGATCCCCCGAATTTGGTGGAGATACGCCGGCGCGTTCGCGAGATAGTGACACCAGTCAACACTTTCACTTCAGTAAGGAGGTCTCTTGTTCAGGCAGCAGCATTCAAGCATTCAAGCATTCAAGCGTTATTCGACCGTAAGTGCCCTGCGAACTTCACATGAAATTCAGCCATGATTCCAGTTCCAAGGGAACGTACACGTTACATTCAAAGGGCATTAAAGTGCGCGAGACG